AAGGAAAGCATTCTGAGGAGACACGATCTTATCAGCCATCACCGAAGTGAGATCTGTGTTGACCACCCTTCATGATACCATACATGGACAGAAACAACTTTGACTGATTGGCCAGTCCATCGGTCTTATTAAAGTAAAAGCACTCTTACTCTGGGACTTACCGCCCAGCAGATCCTCTATTCAGCTAACTACAGGAAAGGTCCTCACCGGCCTTTTCGCACAGGCAGATGCAGCAGAGAGGAGGATATGCAATGCGCTGCGAACGACGGCCACATACAAGCAGGCACACAGCGTCGCACACACGCCCTCTGAGTTATCGCATGTGCGAGCTAAGCTGCGGGTTCAGTGCAGGTTCAATTCCCTCTCAGGGTGTCTTTGAAATTCAGTCCCGCCATGGCAGTCAAATAACACTCATGACGCACCGAAATGCTGACACTCACGAACGAACGACAGACAGACCCGAAAACACACAGTCTGGCAGGGCACCTATCCACCCTTTCAGTCACTCATGCCATGCAAGACAGCAGACAGCCAGGGCGCCAACCAAACTAGCCAGGCCAGCCAGACACTAAACACACAAATGCGACCGATATTGACAGGCACACCAAATGCAGAGAGGCAGGCCAGGCCAGCGATCAGCTAACACTGAGTCAAGGAGTGAGTGAGTGAGAGCAGAGAGTGAGGAGAGTGAGGGGTAGGCGAGTGAGTCAATTGCCCCTCACGAGTCGCACCGCCCATCGCCAGGCGGCCTTCAGGGCCCAGCAGACTCCAGGGCCGCATCTCTGCAGCAGCCAGGCAGGCCACACAGACAGACAAGACCCACCAGCATGTCGATGGACAGAGGCATGGGTGGCCATCCGTCCCCACCCACTGTGGGCCCACTTACATACCTGGGTGCGGTCATCGTGTTGGTGGAGGGAGGCGGCCCTTGCCGATCCCCCCCAGGCACGGCTGCGCAAGGCAAGCGAGCTACACACAACAGACCAGACACACACATGGATGAGTAAGTCCCCACACGCACACACGTGTCGCCCCGCCCACCTGTGAGCAATGTCGAGCCTGTTTATCAGCCTGGAACGGGTCCCCATGGCGATGGCACCGCTCTCGTCCATCTCCTGCACACACGCACGGACGAAACGAAAGACACAATACACACATCCAGGCGCATGCATCACTTGTGTGCCTTGCGTGTCTGTGCGTGACGGGATCGACCTTACATACCTGATGGGCAGCGTTGATATGTGTGGGTACGCTGTCGGCAGCGGTCGTCGACTGCGATGGCGCCAGATCTGAAGCAAGTGACAGGACAGCAGACAGACGGCAACACGTGCGGTGAACGTTGCCTGCCTGCCTGCCTGCCTGTCTCTGCAGCGTCGATGCCATGCGGTGCCCCTTATGTGCGTACCTTCAGAGTGCGGTATCTTCAGCACCCTGCAGACGTATTTGCTGCGGATCTGTGCGCTAACTCGGGCGGCGCGCTCGGCGGCCTCCTTGACACCCTGCCTCTCCTGCACACACACACCCGTCACTCGACTGATGTTTGTGTCTTCCCTTTGTTGGCCCCCACTCGCTGCACTCACCTTTATGTCCTCGACAGTCGTCTTCCAGTCAGCCAACACGCGCTTCGACAGCCTCTGGAGCGCCGCCGCCATCGCACCGACGGCCCCCCTCTGCTGTGCCCTCTTGTGGGCTACCGCATCCCTCCAGCCGCCCACTGCCCGCCTCGTGAGCCTCTCGCGATCCGCCCTCTGCCTCGCCTGCAGGGCGGTCACAAGTGCCCTCACCCGGCGCCTCTCTCCCACCCACGCCCCCCACTGCTGGAAGGCCCTCTGCTTGGTCAGCTGCTGGGCGAGACGGCCCAGTTTGGTCTCAGCCTTATGCCGCCGCTGATAGAGGGCATAACGATGGCTGGCGGCGGAGTGTGCGATGGAACTGGGCGGGGGCGGGATGCCGCGGTCGGCTTGCCGCAGGATGGCATGGCGCCTCAAGAGAGAGAGGCCATTGCGGAGTGCTTCGATGCTGAGGGCCTTCATGGAGGGCTCGCGGTTGGCGATGGTGAGGTTGATGGTGCGGTACCACTTAGCGCAGACGCGCTTGAGCAGACGGTTATGGCAGTCAACACGAAAGGCCATCACCTTAGCCTGATTGATGCATAAAGCGATCAGGAGAGACGGATGAGATGACATTATGCCTGTCCCCATATGTGGTAAAGTGGTCCGTTCTTTACCTCCTGCTCGGCCAGGCTCGCCGTTTGGAGCCTCTTCCATGAGAGCATGATCCTCTGCAGGCGTCGCCTCTCCCCCGCCAGCACCGCAGCCATTCGCCGTTCCCGCACTGTGGTCGTCCAGGCGGCCAGCGCACGGCCCACCAGGAGCTGTGAGTGCATCCGCGCTAGGAGCGACAGTGCGCGGGCGTGTTTGCTGCTCACGTTGGCCTCGTCACGCGGAGCCTGCTGCTGGCGGTGGTCATCATAAGAAGAGCTGCCGTCGTCAGGCCTGGACGCGCCGTAAATCCCAGCGACCTCCTGAAAACACAAAACATGTAACACGTGCACACGTGCGGTGTCGGTGGACATATGAATCGCTCGATGGCTGGCTGGTCATGCCATACCATCTCATTGTCGGCCACTTGGTCGCCGTCCGCGTCTGCGATGTGGCTGCCGTTGAGTTCTGGTGTTGCTGTGGGGTGGGAAGGTCCGCTCTCGGACACGGCACCGTCGTAACGGACACACAACGAAAGAGAGCAACCAGACAGCCCCTCGTTTTCGCCCCCCACACACTCACCCCACGACCTACGTAATCAGCACACCAACACCAAGCAGCACACACCGACACACACACTCATGTGCACTCATACATATGACTGCATGGCCGTGTTGGTGTGGACACTGTGCATACCACTCATTGGTCTGTTTGTAGGTGTTCAGAATCATCCTGTCGCCCTTCTTCAGGAACAGCGGCCGCCCGATCTGCGGAATGGACTCCTCCTGGGGCATGAAGTCCGTAGTGTGCTGCACCTGTAATGTGCTGATGCGGTGCTGCTGGCGTTGGTCGGGGTGGTGGGTCGGTGTCGGCTGGGATACGGCCGGAGAGGAGAGCGGGGCGGACGCAGATCGGTGCTGGCTCGCCGGCTGCCCATCCGATACGTGGACAAACGTGGCCTTGGCCAGCGACATATTCCGGTCGATCAGGGCACCCATTGGTGACTCAAAGGGCACACAGCGGGGCCCCGGCGCCGGCGTGGCCTTGCCTGGCTGCACGGGCCGATTCGCCCTCTCGTCGCGGCCTGGCTCGTCGTTCCTTGAGACAAACAACGGCTCGTGCGATGGCCGGTGCAGCCCTTGGCCGCCAGTGGCGTAGCGATTGGATGCTAAGAGAGAGGGCCTCGGGTGGTAAGTGCCCCTAAACCCACAATGTGAGGGCTGCCGGGTGGCGCCCTTGTCCAGCTGCGCCAGCAACACCGCGCCCCCATTCGACCTCCAGCTCTCGGCATGCGAGAAGGCGCACTGAGTGAACCCACACACACGGACAGCAGCATAAGTCATGCCTCGCAGAGGAATGAGTGAGTGTGTCGTGTGTGAATGACGCGTGTTCGGTGCCCTGCCCACCTCGCTGCCATGGCGGCACCACTGTCCCTTCGCCCAGAACAGACACGGGCGGCTCTTCTTTTCGTCTCTGAAAGGCGAGCGATGGCACACAGAACGAGAACGCTTTACAATGCATCCAGCGTCATAAATGCGTGTAAGTACATGAGGCCCTGGGTGAGTGCCTGAGGCAGGCTCTTTCCTTTCGTGTGCGTCTTCTTGTGCGTGCAATGCGTGACGCATATGTCACCCATCTTAGCCTCTGAGACGACATGCCGACACACGAGCGTCGCTGTTGGCCTCCTAATGTCACGAATGTGAAGAAAGGGGCGGCTCAATAGCCCAAGCGTCACCAAACCCTGAATCCGAGAGCAAACCCTTCACCCCTTCTGCGAGCTTAGCACCGAAGCTTTAAGGACTCTCTAACCAACCAACCAAGGAGGCTACACGAGGCGAAGGTGACGGCAGGCATGTGGATCTGACCGCCAGATCTATGGATCCTTCCACCAGCGGCAGCAGCTTCATGCAGATGCCGATGAGTCATCCCACACTCACCCTGTTCACCCGCCTCGCCGCCCTGTGGTCTATCCTCTTTCTCCTCTCCCTCCCCCGGGTCACCCATGCGCTCTACGAAGACGAGGCCGGCGAGCGCGATTGGCTCATCCAGACGGTCGGCCGCGTCACCCATCTCGTCACATCGCCCCTGCCGACCCACTCGCGGCGCCTCTATGTCGGCACAGCGCAGGGGATCGTGGCCGCACTGCAGACCAAAACCGGCGCACTCGAGTGGCGACGGGAGGGCAAAGATGAAGGTGAGAGGGTATCGCGGCTCGCCATCGGCAAGGCCATCCTGGTCTCGCTGAGTGTCAACGACGGCCATGAAGATGGTGGTGGGAGGTCGTCGACCTCTGTTCGGTGCTGGCATGTGCACAACGGCGATCTCTTGTGGCAGGAGACCATCACCCAGGACAGTCAGCAGAGCGATGGTGAGCGGCCTGCAGCCTTGGTGGACGTGGCCATCGTGCCGAGTGACGGCGGTGGGGGCGAGGCCGTGCTGCTGGCCACTGAGAGGGGCGCTCAGCTGCGCCACGCCACTTCCGGCCGCATTCTGCGAGATTGGGCGACTAGTGCCAGTCACGGGTCTGTCCGCTACTCCCGCGTCATCCCTCTCGACGACCAAGACGGCGACGCCATCTCGTTTGCTCTCATTGGCCGCGACATTTCGTCCTCCTCCCTGGTAGCGTCCATTCACAAGACGGTAGACGACAGCAGGCAGCAGCCCTCTGGCAAGCCAACGACGCTGGGCAAGGTCACCATGACGCCTGTTGGTGAGGAGCAGAATGTGGTGCAGGTCGCGGGCACACTGGTGGGGTGGGTGGAGAGCGAGGGGACGATCAAGGCGGTGGACATGAAGGAAGACGGAAGGGGGACGAGCTACTCTCATTCTGTGGGCGGGGGCGGAGGAAGGGTGAGGTTTCTGGGCGAGAGGGGCGCTGTCGACGGTGTGCTGACTTTGGCCGACTCGCGGCGGTCTTACGCTCTCATCAAGGGCACAGAGGGGCGGCTCAACAACATATGGGTGAGCCAGTGGGTGGGCGGGGAGAGAGAGGGAGAGAGAGAGAGAGGGAGAGAGGGAGAGAGAGAGAGAACCAATGGAGAGTGGGCGACACACGAGTGTGTGTGTGTATGGGTGCCATGTTGTCATTGGTCGGTCAGTCGAAGGAGGGTCGCTGGGCATTGGCACCGTTCTATGCGACCAACACACGGGAGCCATCCACGTGAGCCGACCCAACAGACAGACAGACAGACAGAGCAGGAAGCCATGTGAACTCATCATTCTCTGGTGTGTGTGTGTGTGTCTGTGCGCAGGACGTTGCTAGGCGGTGTGTTGATTGGTCACGAGAAGACACACGTGGAGAAGATCGACTTGACCACCGGCGGCACCGAGCCTGTACTCGAGTGCGTAACCCATCACACCACACACATAAAGAGAGAACACACACACACATGAATGCACCTCTGTCTGTCTGTCTGTCTGGCTGTTAGAGACTCGTCTCTCCGCAACACAGAGCGCGGTCCAGCGATGGTCGCGCTGGTGAGAGAAAGCTCCTCTGACGTGTGAGCGACCCACAGGCAGACAGACAGACAGACAGTCTGTGTGCACACCTGCCTGTTCTGCGTCTGTTTCATGAGTCAGGCGCGTGTCGGTGTCGTGTGCGGACCATTCCCTGGCGCTGATTCGGCAGGCTGGCGTGTCGTGGATCAGGGAAGAGGCCCTTGGGTCGGTCAAGGCGTCATCCTTCTACCACCTGCCCCCCTCCCTCCTCTCCTACCTCATGCGCTCACCCACCACCCCACACGCCTCACCAGAGATGGAGGAGGCCCAGGAAGAAGCCGAGATCCTCGCCGAGCCCCTGCCGCTCTTCTCCCTAATTCTGTCGCTGCTCTCCCCCGGCACAGCCAGCACCCCCTCCCCCCTCTCCCGCCTGTGGGCCAATCTCATGCTCACGTGCGACTATGTGCTGGCGTCTGTCGGGCTGATAGTGGGGTCGCTGGGGGAGCTGGTTGACGTGCGGCGATGGCAGGGCAAAGACCAGATGGCCGTCAGGCGGCAGACAGAGGGGCGGAGCCCGCTGCTGGTGGGTGTGGGTGTGGGTGGTGGTGGTGGTGGTGGTGGGGACATGTCAGTTGGGATGGGGGCGCGGGAGCGGCTGAGGGAGGCGATGCTGACGGCGCGCAAGGGGCACATCGGCCACCATCGCTTTGGCGACAGTGACGTGATCGTATTGGCCACGTGTGCCGGCAAGGTAAGGCGGGCTACTGGTTGATGGTAATGCGTGTGCCGATTCTCTCTCTCTCCCTCTCTCTGTGTGTGTGGATGTGTGTGTGCAGGTGTATGGGCTGCATGCGTCGAGTGGGCGGATCCTGTGGCACAAGACTGTGTGGGACATCACCTCTGCCGTCCTGCACCACCACCCACCGCCCGAATGCAGACCCAGAGCGCGGCTCCACACCACCAACACACAGCTCACAGAGAGCCTGTCCAACAGCCACAACCTTCAAGACGGCCCCATCACCCTGCTCAAGCCTTTATCGCGGCGGTGGCCAGAGGTGCTCATCTGCGCACACACAGCTTTCCCCCTGCAGCCCTCCCCCTCCCTCCTCTGGCTCGACACGCTCACCGGCCACACAAGGCGGCAGGTCCACGTGAGCCCCGATGCCGACGTGCTGCCGCTGGCTCTGCCGGGACACGCCACACACATGGCTGCGAGCGTCAAGGGCGGCGGTGATCGTGCTGGTGGTGGTGGTGGCTTGGAGGGATGGGAGATGGAGTTGCATGGCGACGTGGATCCTGTGATGGTGGTGGAGAGGAATGGGACCGTCGCGCTCTACCCACCGTCGCCAAAGGTGAGTGGGCGGTGTTGCTGCGTTGGGCTCACTCCCACCTGCAAATTTGTGTGTGATGCGTGTGTCAGCTGGTGGAGTGGCTGCCGGAGATGTTCTCGTACTATCGGGTGCAGACCAATGAGAGCATCATCACCGGTGCGTGTGCGCGCGTGTGGGGCGGGGGGATTGGGAATAGACTTACATGCGGACCACCGCGTGTGTGCGTCCTTCTCTCGGTCTCTCGGTCTCTCTGTCTGTCAACCAGGATTCGGTGTTGATCGCACAGACGGCTCCCTTCGTGTTGTCCCAAGATGGCAAACCAACTTCGCCGCGGCCAAGAAATACATCGCAGGCAACGCACACACACACACACACACACACACAGAGAGAGAGAGAGAGAGACAACACAGCACAGCACGCAACACACGATGTTCAATCCGTCAATGGTGCAGGCGTGGCGAGTTCTCTCCATCGCAACTTCGAGCACGTGCCGGTGCAGGTCAAGGGCGACGTGACGGTGCTGTATCGCTACCTCAACCCCAACCTACTCGCCGTCGTCACAACAGACGCACCACCACCGCAGTGGGACGCATATACTTACAACGTAGGCACACACCACACCACACTAGAATTGTCACCCACACACAAAGGGATGGATGGATGGATGGATGGAGGGGTGCAGGCGCAGGCGGCAGCGATGGACTTCCGGCTGACTCTGCACCTGATTGATGGCGTCACGGGGGCCATGCTGCTGTCCGAGACCCTCCCCATCGGCGCCGCCCTGCCGGTGCACATGGCGGTGAGCCGAGGGCGCGGCGCGAAGGGCCTGTGTGGGTGTGTGTGGATATTTGTGTGTGTGTGAGTGTGTGGCACATCTTGCAGGTGTGTGACAACTGGGTGGCAGTTCACTACTTCAACGCGCTGGACTCGCACCACAGCATGGTGCCGCGGTTCGAAATGCACGTCGTGGAGCTCTTCGACCCACAACGGGACACCGGTCGGTAAAGCGATCAATCAGCGCACTCACTGCGTCCATGGCAGACAAGCAATGGAGTCACATAAATTCTGCACCACCCGACCAGGTCCCCTGGGCATCTTGCTGGGCGACGGCTGGGCCACCGGCCCATCGACAGGCGAGTCCTCAACACCACCAGCAGCCGTGCAGCCCACAGTGACACACAGGCTGCCCCACACCGTGGTGCGTGAGATGCGGACTGCCGTGTCGGCCCACTCGCTGCCGAGCCCGACGGCCTTCAACGCGACGTTCATTTTCCCCAGCGGCATTCGGCTGATGGGCGTCACCGCCACACAAAGGGGCGTCACCACACGCATCGTCCTACTGGTCAGTCCGACAAAGACGGGACAGGCAGGCAAAGAGGTCCCTTTGATGGATGGATGGCGTGTGCCTGTGTGTGTGTGTGTGTCAGGGGCTGTCGAGCGGTCACATCTACGGCGCGTCCAAGAACGTGTTGAATGCGCGCCGGCCGGTGGTGGCGCCGCCTCGTGCGGGCAGTAAGCCGAAGAAGCTGTCGGCTGCCGAGAGGGAGGAGGGCATCCCGCCCTACGCCCCCACACTGCCCATCACACACACAGACATGCTCTCCTACTACCAACAGGTGAGGGAGTAGTCAATGAATGACACACAGACACTTACGCAACGGACCTTCTGTGTGTGTCTGTGCCTGTGTGTGTGTGTCGATCTGTCCAATCAACAGGTGTGTCATCTGCGCGGCATATCGACCTACCCCACTGAGCTCGAGTCGACCTCTCTGCTCTTCGCTTACGGCCTCGACCTCTTCTTCGCCCCCGTGCAGCCCGCAAAGGCACGCAATCCACGATGAGCACACAGAGACAGACAGACAGACAGACGTCATTCCGCCCATCCCATCCAGCCCTGTCGGTACGTGTGTGCATGTGTGTGTGTGTGTGTGTGTGCGCAGGGGTTCGATGTGCTGAGCTCTACGTTCAATTACCCGCTGCTGAGCGTGTCGCTGCTGGCCATCACGGCGGCCGTCATCGTCACGACGGCCCTCGCACACAGAAAGAGAATATATGACCGGTGGAAATGATGATGAATGAGTGACACACTGACTGACTGAATGAATGAATGAATGACACACTGACTGACACACGTGATGGGTGAAATGGATGGATGGCCCCACTCCTCCTGCCCCAGCCTCTGTCTTTGCACGTGTCTGCCTTTATGCCCTCCACTCCGTCCTGCACACACACATATGCCAGATTCGCAAACCCTCCGCACACACACTCATGCTGAATATCGCAGCCCAGCTAGCCACCCCGCTGCCGGAGGGGGGACGCAGGGGACACGTTACCGTGGACCGATGCTGGAAGGCATGCACTCATGCGACTGACTGACTGACACATGGACGGGCCGCTGGATGGATGGATGGTGTGAATGTCTTCTCTCGGGACGGCAGTCGACGGGCGCACGCAAGAAGCACGGCGACACATTTAATTCATGGTTCATTTGATGGGGTACAAAGTGTCAATTCAAGCACTTCGAAGACGTGAATGCACTGCCACTAGGAAGCCGCCCTCATGATAGACCCACCCATAACGACCGGTCCCTTCACATCCAGTCGGTGTTCGGTGTCACGCACACTGCCGACTGCCCAACACGTGTCTGTCACACCAGCACCTCTCCCACATCGATGACGTCACTCTCCAGCTCGAATCGCCTCAGCACACTGCGCCACCGGGGCATCGACATCGGGAAACGCTCATCGAGGGAGGCAGACGCGCCAGCAGCAGCCGACTCGGTCGTCCACAGCTCGATGTCCCCCCACGCCACCAGCACAAAGGCAGCGACGGCATCGGTGGGGCGAAAGCCGCTCACGATCACATAACGATTCGCGACAGTCAGGTCCCCGCCTTCAAGGCGGTCGTCAGCTGTGATGCCCAGCTGCTCGGGGACGTCGCCGGCTGTCAGCAGCCTCTGAAAGCGAGTGTCGTCACGACCGACATAAGCACGCAGCACCTCTTTCTGTCCCACTCCCTCTTGGTCAGACCACCGCGTCACGACCATCCACGTGGCGAATGCTGTGAAGGATGGATAGAGCCAGTCCACATAGCAGATGACGGGATCGCTCTCCTCATGTGTGCTGCGGTAGGGATGGTCGGCCGGCAGCTCATCCAACGGCACCACACGGAACACCTTATTGCCGATGCGATACTCTCCGTTGTCAGCTCGCCGCAGCGCCAGGCTGGTCCCTCTGTACTTGAGCACGTGGCCGAACGTCTTGTAGGTGGCCATTGTGAGGGGCAGCTCATCGAATGCTGAAGTGATGGGCAGCGAATCAGCCGACAGCAGGAGGGGCCGCGTCGCATTGAGTGGTGTGAGCTGATAGATGAAGGCCAGCCGGATGAAGGGCTTGATCAGCTTCCAGTGGCCGCTGCATCGCTCCAGCACATGGGCCGTCTTGAGGGCCCCCGCCAAGTCAGGAATGTCGAAGGCCAAGTGGTCATGAAGGTCCTCGGGGTGCATGGCCCTTTCGATGCGCTCCTGCAGGACGGCCGGCAGGGTGACGCCTCTGGGGATCTCTGTGGGCGGCTGCTTGTCAATCTGTCTGACGAGTGCCGGCCGCCTGGTGGGGTCATCGAGTATGTGTGAGGCCTTCTTGAGTGAGAGCTCCCACAGAGAGGGAACAGAGTCGGACGCCATGACTGAGATCTCTGTTCAGCATGAACAACACAGAGTGGCATACAGACGGGATGTGAGTGCGCCTGGTTTGCCTCCTTACGTGTGCTGGGTGACGAATCAACGGCCGTGCTGCAGATGTCTATAGCAGAAAGCGGTACACCTGACAACTGAATCGCCTTCTCTGCGAGCTTAGCTCGCAGAACCTGGCCTGTTTACATCTTCCCGCTTTTTCTGCCATCACCATCATGTTGGGCACGGCGGAGATTTTGAAGAAGAAAGGTACGCCGGCGGCACACAGCGGCGATGGCCACCGGAATGCATGGTCCCTGCCGCTCCTGACGGTCTGTTGGTTGTGCAGGCGAGTTCGCACGCATCTGGCTGGCCGGGTGAGCAGCGCACCCGCCGCACCACAAAGCCATGAGGCCTGCAGATCAGATCTCTGGCATGGATACGTATGTGCATCCCCTCCCTCCTCCCCTCCCTTGTGTGTGGGCAGGACGGGCGGCCTGAAGCGGAAATGTTTCACCAAGGCAAACACACACCCACAGCACACCGGGATGGAATGGCTGGATGGCGCCATGGATCCATCCATCCATCCATCCATCCATCTGTGTGGTGCAGAAGAGTGTGGAGGGCCTCTCGCTGTCGACGCACTGCGACCAACTCATGCAGCTGGTGTGGAATCACTTGCACATTGGCCAGACGACCACACACACGCATCCACTCATGGATGGCGGATGACGACGTCTGTGTATCTGCTATCCACTCATGGATCCGTCCATTCATCCATAGGATCGTGAGCTTCAACTGCGGACGGCTGGCGTGCTGCTCAACGGCATCGTACTCATCTTCGACCGGTGCGCACCACATGGGAGGAGGGGAGGGGAGGGGGAGGTGGTGCCATGTGTGGCGTGGATGGCGTGTGGTGTGTCCTGTGCTGTGTTGCAGTCAGTGTGTCTATCTGGAGACTGACGTTCTTGACTGCCTCTACAAGGTGTGTCACCCAACACACACACACACACGCGGCAGCGGATGCCCCCACCCCCTCCCTCCCCTCTCTGTGTTGTGTTGTGCTGTGTTGTGTCGACGGATGCATCAGTTGAAGACGACGAGTGAGAGTGCGGCCCGCCCCCGGAAGAACACCAAGAAGTCCAAAGGCGGCCTGGGCGACGGCGATGAGGGCAGCGACGGCCTCCCAGCCATCGGCGGAATGGACCCCACACAGTCGCACGGCGGCGGACTCATCGGAGACCCGGATGAGGACATCGTAGCCAAACACACACAACACACATGGAGGGGTGGGAGGGGCATCAGTCATCTGTATGTATTTGTGTGTGTCTGCGCAGTTTGGTCAACCGCCCGAGCAGCCACCCCTCTCGCCTCGCGGCGCGGCCGGAGGTATCTCGCACACAGACAGAAGGCGGAATGGTGGTCAGACAAACCACCCACGCACGCACGGCTCTTTTGGGTGTGTGCAGGCCGCCACTCGATCAACCTCAATGACGACCAGGCACCCACACGACACACGACACACAACAACACACGCACATATGGCCTGCCTGTGTGTGTGTCATGCTTTTTCATGTCATGCATCTTCTTTGGTGCGTGTGTCGTGTCAGTATGAGTTTGGCGGTCCGCCCCTGCTGGGCGGCATGGGCATGTTTGAGGACGAGTTCGCAGACCACCAACACAACGACCTGCACCCAGACGGACAGGCAGACATACCCATGCCGGCAGGGTAACACTTGTACCCCTTTCTCCCCCTCTCTCCCCTTCCTCCTCCTCCCACACACATATCCGCCCCTCCGGCATCCATGTGTGTGTCATGTGGTGTCAGGTTTGAGGATTTCTCTCCGGCCGGCGATGTGGGTGTGGGTATGGGTGTGGGTGTTGGGGAGGACCAGCAGAGTGCCGGCGGCCAAGGCCAAGACCAAGACCAAGACCAACAGGAGCAGCAGCAGCAGCAGCAGGGGGAGGGCATGGACACCGACCAGCAGCAGCAGCAGCACCCTGAGCACCCTCCAGAGGAACCTGACGAGGCCTTCATGAACGTAACCTACACACCGCACCATACCCATACACATACCCACACACACACATGGACACTCCCACGCCCCCATGTCATGTGTGTCACGGTCGAACAGCCCGAGACCGAGGCGGCCTTCTGGCGCGACATGGGCATCGCGGCGGACGACCCCCTCACCGCCAACCAGCAGCAGCAGCACGAGGGAGAGGGGGACGGCAGCAGTGGTGGCGCTGGGGGTCAGCGGGGGCGCTCCAAGGGCACTAAGGGTAAGAGGGGCGGCCGCAAGGCCAAGGGCGGCACTGCTGGTGCTGGTGCTGGTGGTGGTGGGGAGGAGGATGGTGATACTGGGGGCGAGGGGGTCATAGCCAATAGCGAAGCCAAAAGAGGCGCCAAGGGGAAGGGCGGCAAACTCAAGAAGGTACCCGTCTCACACACACACACACACGCGTGTATGTGTGTGTATGCCATGTGTGTGTGTGTGTGGTTGTGTGCAGGTGTTTGATGTGGATAAGGATACCATGTTGTCGGACGAGGTTATGGAGGGCTGGCTGCACGACACCTCAGACATCACAGTGCCCAGAAAGTCGCCTGACGAGGTACGTAGGTACAGTACACAGACCAACACATACCCACAACAAAACACGCATACACACCCACCCGGAAGCCATTGGCGTCTCGCTGTGTCTGCGTGCCATCAGAGTGAGGCGATGCTGCGGCGAATGTACGAACCCTTTCTGCTCACGGTGAGTCAGCCAGCGCACAGGCCCCCTCAGGCATCAGCAATGCCATGCTGGCAGGCATAGCGGGTGTGTTGTGTGGTGGTTCTATATATCGGCAGGCCGGTTTGCCTCTGGGCAAGAGACTCCAGATGCTCATGTTCGGTCAGACTGACAAAGACAACACCCACACTACACACATACACACACACCCTCCCCTCTGTGCATCCCACCTCATGAGTCGGCGTACGTGTTGACTGATGCGCAGGTCGATATGTGTGTGAGTCGAGCGACTGGGGGAGCGGGCCGATGTTCCGCTTCCGACGGTACAAGCGCCGCCCGCGGACCGACAAGAAAAAGGAGTCCTGGCAGGACAGAGACAGACAGAGACGCGCAACCAGTATATATGCCGCCACACCCCACAGCCTGCCCTGCACCCACCCATTGCAGTGTGTGTGTGTGTGGATGTGTGTGTAGGTGAGGGTGAGGGTGTAGGTGACGGCGTGCCGCCCGACTTCCCCGAGTTCGTGGCCGACCACCACCACCACCAGCAGCAGGAGGAGCAGCAGGAGGAGGGCGGTTTGGACGCCGAGGGCATCGAGCGTGTGCGGGGGGACAACGCGGCCGCTGACGCCGACGCCATACACATGGTGGGCTGGAGGGCGGGCGGGCCGGGGGATGGGTGCGGTCAACACTCAACACACCACCATCACACGCGCACATATGTGGCTGTGTCTGCCTGTGCACCACCTGCAGGACGTAGAGCAGCAGGAGCGCCTCACTGACGACGGTCGATTTCGCACACACACACAACAAAGAAGGAAGGCCCACACACATGAGCTGCATGCCACACACCATTTTGTGTGTGTGTGTCTCCTTCTTGGGGTCAGATCATGAGGCTGGCCGTCGCCCGTCGATGGCTGGGCGTGCGGGCCGCCGCTCATCGCTGGGCGGCATGAGGAACAACAACGACCATGACCTCGACAGAGACATCGCATACCCACACGACATGTCCACCCACACACCACACCCACGACACACCCACACCCACAGCTGTCCATGAGTGTGTGTTGTGCTGTGGTGTGCTGTTTCCCATTGGTCCAGAGACGTAGGTGCGGCGTATGTCGGGATGGACACCCCGGCAGACCTTCAGAAGCTCTTCGAGCAGCAAGGCACGCACACACACACACACACACAGTGCACCAACAAAAACAGCATCTCTATGTGTGTGGGTGTGTGTGGGTGTCCATCCATGTGTTGTGTTGTCCCATGCCCCCGACAGATGACGGCGTGGACGGCGGCCTTGGGGGCGTGTTGGGTGCCATGGCGGGCGAGAGTGCCGCCAATGCGGCGGCCGAGGGCCCCGATGGCCACCCCAACGGATACGACCTCCTCACCATCAAAATGAGACAGTACACACACACACACCAAACACCAAACACCAAACAGCACACAACACACCCCACTCTCTCTCTCTCTCTCTGTGTGTGTCTGTGTCGTCAGGTACGTAGAGCATCGCATTCCCAACCAGCAGCAGCAGCAGCAACATGATATGGTGGGCGGTGACGGTGGTGGCGGCGGCCGTCCCGAGGTGCGGTTCCACGAGGTGTTCCCCCCCGGGCGTGTGAGTCGCGGCACGGCCGCCCTGGCCTTCTACCACACTCTGGTCCTCATCACCGGGGGAGACCTCACAGCGCGACAGGACACGCCCTACAACGACATATACCTGTCAAAGGCACGTCATGGCCACGACCGAGGGAGGCACGAGTGTAATGCGCAATCATGTCTCTTCCTCCCTCCCTCCGTCCCTCCCTCCCTGTCTCTCTCTGTGTGTGTGTTGTGTTGTGTTGTGTTATGTTGTGTGTGCAGACGGTCGACATGGAGGTGTGACGGGGCGGCGGACAGCCAATGAGGAGGGGAGGAGGGATAGAGAGACAGACAGACAGACAGACAGGCAGATAGCCGACATGACATGGCGTAGGGATGGATGGACGTCAGAGATGGATGGATGCATTGATGTGCGTGTGCGTGTTCATCCGTTCATGCGAACGTGTGCATGTCTTGTTGTTGAGCCTCGAAGGCAGGGCAGGGTAGGGCAAGGGTAGGTAGGTAGGTTGGTGTGGCTGGCTGCGACGCAGCATCAACCCCATCCAACCATTCCATCGATTGCCTGACCCCATCGCATCGCAAGGACCTCTCTTCGTGATGTCGATGTTGGCTTCTCATATCAACGTGCAGTGGATGCATCAGTGGAAACTCAGAAACATCGAGCCAGCAGAAGTCCATCCCACACACCCCTGCCGCAGCGCAGCGCGGCACCGCGGCCGCGATGTCAGTCAGTCTACCATGCACCATTAGCAGCTAACCATCCGGAGGGAGGCCAACATTGTGGGGTGTTCGTGTCTGTCTCGGTGTTTGTTGATTGATACTGGCTGAGAGTCTAATCAAGTAGAGTAGATGGACTGATGGATGGATGGATGTGGTGGTCGGCCAGACCTTGTTGGTGCGCGTCTGAGTGTGTTGGGAGGAGGTATACGTGTGTTTCAGGACTGATCTCTGCCTGTGAGCTCACGCAACACGGATTCATTCAAAATTAACTGACGCAGGCACGAGAGTCTTGCCGCTCACACATGCACACACACCACACCATGCAACGCGACGCGACACGCACGTCACTCAGTCAGGGGACCGGACCACTCACGCGCCCTGCCTGCCTGCCCACTCGTCCATCCATTCCGTCCACCAACTCGCTCCACACGCACCGCATCGCCCTCACCATCCCATCCGCCCCCAGCCAGCCAGTGAGTGAGTCAGCGAGGCGGCCACTGGTTGCCGCTACAGACTGTGAGCGGACACTTCACGGCCACACACACACCGACCCGACCCATCTGACCTGACGAGGGCCATGACGTCACACATCAGAGAGGGAGGCAGGCAGGCAGCAGACAAGTACGGATGCATCGCTTGAAGGGGCCCGTTCGTCAGTCGCTCGTCGTCATCCAGTCAGTCAGTCAGTCGCGTCACTGGCCGTTGTCAGCGTGGGATTGTCGTCGATGAATCACTCCGTTTTCCTCCGGTATGAGCAGCCCTCGGTCAGCTTGGCGTGGCCACCCGTGGGCTGGCACAGAACCAAGTTGCACCTGACACACACACACACACACACAGACAGAGAAGACACACAGGTGAGTCCCCAATGCCACCACGCCTCCCACAGCCACGCACATGCCCAAGACACGACAGATCTCGCCCCTCCTCGACTCCTTTCCTGTCTGTGTGTGTCTGTGTCTGTGTCAGTGCCTCCCTCCCCTCCCCTCCGTCATCGGCTGGCTCCCTGACTCACCCCGGGCAGGTGACAGCTGTGTTGGCGTGGCTGAAGACGGTGGTGATTTGGAAGCACCCCGAGCACTTGACGTCCATGAAGAACGAGTTGGGCTGCTGGATCAGCCGCTTCAGCTTGTGCTTCTGCTTCTCCTCCTTGGGATCCGGATTCAGCAAGTCGACGTCCATCCTTGTTGCTAGGTCGCGGCAACACACAGGTCACGACCAAGTCAATGGACGACAGATAGACAGACGAACACGCCTTCTGTGTCTTGCCCTACGCGGTGACGTAAAACAAACATGCGAGCTTGAAAATGCCAGAGGAAGAGGAGAAGGTCTGTGGGAATGCCGAAGTCAGAGAGGAGCTGAGATCACCCGATGCCGTCGGCGCTTCTCTCGTTTTCGGCCTGATGCAGCCACTGGTGCATGTGGCTGAATCTGAATCCTCCTCTCTGCCGCACTGACGACGCGCGCCCGCCTTTCTCTGACGCCCGTGGAAGCGGATCTACTCACTCGGCCGACAACAGCCGCCCGTCGCGCCATTGCACACCCATCTGCGGAAACAGCCCATAGCACGCGCCAAGGAGCCCTGCTGATCTCTGCGAGGCACGCTCGAGCCCCGTCAGCACCCCTACTGCCCTCTTCGCCTCTCCCCGCCCCTCAATCTCGATGTCAATGGCCTCATCGGAGCATATCGAGGCCGCCGACCAACCACAGGGCGAAGGCGATGGCCACCGGGGCCATCCAGAGGGCGAGAGACAGCCGGGAATTGGCGGTCCGCCGCGTGCCGAGCCGGCAGCGGCCAAGCGGTCGTCCAAGGCGGCGTCTAAGCACGCCATGAGGAGCAGTGGGAGCAGCAGCAAGGGCGGGAGGAAGGGCAGCAGCGGCAGCAATGGGGTTGGCGCTAAGGATGGCGGCGGCAAGAAGGGGCCGGGGGCGTCTGCGGGTCATCGTGACCATCGTGGCAAGAGGGAGGACAGCAGCCCGTCTGTAGAGGAACAGGAGGAAGAGGCGGTGCCCGAGGGGGAGGCTGCTGAGGGTGGTCGGGAGCAGCAGCAGCAGCAGCAGCATGGTCATGGTCGTGGTGAGGCGGTGAGTGACGGCAACCGTGCCAACTGCAACGAGTGCAAGAAGCCGGGGGAGCTCCTGTGCTGCGACAACTGCCCCAGAGGTGAGGAAGGTTGATGTGGAGGGGCGAGGGGGGAGACCACGTGAGCACACACAGCCGACAAGAGAGGGTGTGTGTTGTGTGTTTAGCGTTTCACTTTGCGTGTCTGGGCATCGACCGGGCGAGTGTGGAGCACCTCGATAAGTGGTACTGCAAACACTGCAGGTGGGTAAACTCACCAACGACCCACCGACCACCCTCACCATGTCATGCGTGTGTCTGTGTCTGTGTCTGTTCTGTATGTTTCATGTCATCCAGGCCTGTGATCGAGCGACGGGAAGCTAAGGAGCGGGACAAGGAACGGAAACAACGTACCAGCCACCACAGACCACACGCACACACCCATTGTACTCTACACAACCAGCACCACCGTAGCCCCCTTTGTGTGTGTGTATGGTGGTTCACTCACAGGTGAGCGCGAGGAGCAGAAGGAGGAGCGGCGCAAGAAGCGAAACGAGGCACGGCGGCTCAAGCGAGCGGCCGAGAAGGAGAAGCGGCGACAAGAAGCAGCGGCAGCAGCAGCAGATGGTGTCCCGATGGTCAACGGCCTTGGCGACGGTGAGGCGGCTGGTGGTGCGGCCAGCAAGAGGAAGCACGACGGCGAGGGGGCCGGCGAGCGGCCGCCCAAAAAGAAGAAAAAACACGCTCATACCGGCGGGGACGGCGGCAGCGGCAGCAAGGGCAGCAAGCCCTCCACCTCCCTGTCCCCCTCCCCTGCAGACAACAACAAGAAGAAGCAGCACAAGGCGGGCGACAAGCACCACCACGACAAGGGCAACAAGAAGAAAACCACACCAGCAGCAGCAGCTGCAGCAGCAGCTGCTGGCCAGGGTGATGAGAAGCACGGCAAGGTCAAGGCCAAGTCGGTCAAGCCTGGCAAGGAAAAGGAAAAGGAAAAGGTCAAGGAGAAGGATGGCGTCAAGAAGGAGAAGGAGCCCCGGCCCAAGAAGACCAAGAAGAAGGTCGAGTACCCCATATCGGACAGCGAGCTGTTCGCGTCAGACGAGGCCATCCGCAGACACGGACCCTTCCTCGCCAACCAGGTAGTGTGGCGGTCAGAGAGTGGGACGGAGGGACGGACGGAGGGAGGGAGGGAGGGGAGGGAGTGGCATCCTTCCTGTGTGTATGTGCCTCATGTGTGTGTGTGCAGTTGTCGCTTCCCCGCCCTGACCGCGCCTGGCTCGAGGGAGTGGATGGCGGCATCGCCGCCGATATCCTCATGATATGGAACTACTGCAGGGTCAGTTAAATCAGTGGGGGGAGGGAGAGCAGAGCATCCACATGTCACTCATTCAATCTGTGTGTGTGCCATCCATGGATGGATGGATGGATGTCAGTCGTTCAGCAGGGTTCTGAGAATCTTCCCCTTCACCCTGGAGGCGTTCGTCAACGCACTGGTACACACACACACACACACACCCCGCAACACCACACCATACGTCCCTCCCTCCCTCCCTCCCTCCCTCCCTCCCCTTCCCCCCTCCGTCACCTCTTACTCATTCCCCCTCAGGATGACCGACAGGCGTGTGTCGGCCCCCGTCTGCTGGCCAACATCCATCTCAGCCTACTCGTAAGTAACCCACCACCCGCTCCCACGTTCTCTCTCATGTGTCCCCTCTCTCTGTCTGTCTGTGTGTGTGATTGTTTGTACACAGGAGACCCTTCTGCGCCACATCAACTGCTTCCGTGACCCAGATGAGCCCCTCACAGATCTCCACGAGATCAACGCCGACACCCACCATACACACACCTCACGGAAAGGCGCTGGCGGCGAGCACGGCCACGGCAGCGACGAAGAGAATGAGGACGAAGAAATGGCCCCTCCTGCTGCCGCTTCTGCCGCTTCTGCCGCTGCTGCTGCCGGTGGCGGTGGGGGAGGTGTAGGTTCTGTGTGTGGTGATCACATCTGTCTGGCAGTGAGGCGTGGCAAGAAGGGGCGCAAGACCACCGTGCTGATACCCAAGGAGCGGCTGCCGCCCGTCATGTCCATGCGGCCTATCAGGGCAATCGCGGTCGGTCAGCGGACAGACAGTGGCCGGGGAGCAACGACATTTTCGTGGACCTGAGTGGTGTTGGGTGTTGTGTGGTGTGTGGTGTGTATGGCGTAGGAAGGGAAGATGTCCCCGAGTGACGTGTTGTACCACGTGTGCTGGCCCGACGTGGTGCTGCGGCTGGCCAACATGCCACTCGTGCAGCAACTCGTAGGCAATACACGTAGGCAGAGAGAGAGAGAGACGGAGGGAGAGAGAGAGATGGCCTGAGTGGTGACACCGTGTGTGTGTGTGTGTGGTCTGTGGTGTGTGTGCAGTTCTTCTCGACATTGCCCGACTGCGACCACTTTGACGGTTGTGACATGGTCAGTAAAGTCACCCCTCAGCACACCCACACAGGTCTGCTTGTCGACGGTGTGTTGTGTTGTGTCGTGTTGTGTTGTGTCTTGTGGGTGGGCAGGGAAGTGTCAAGGTGGCTGAGGCGCTGCACGCCCTGCACCAGACGCCGTACGTCGACCTCTCACTCAGCCACAGAGTCACGGTCAGCCAGTGGGGTGGGTCAGACAGCACGTGTGTGGATCCACCAGCCCCAGCAATCTTCTGTGTTGTGCTGTGTTGTGTTGTGTTGTGTGTGCAGGTCCTGCGCTTCCTGGTAGATCTGACCTTCGAGCTGCCGCTCATGAAGGAGCACATCGACGCCATGGAGAAGGTCGGTCACACAACACACACACACACACACGCACCATGCCAACCACGGCTTTCCTTCCTATGCTGTGCCTTCCCACCGGACAGAGCCACGTCGAGCTGAGGGCCCGCGCAGCGCAGGACGACACTCCAAGAGACAAAGACAAAGACAAAGACCCCGCCGGCAACGACAAGGACGATCCGAAGGCCTCCGCCGCCCGCCTCAAACAGCTGCGTGACCTCCTCTCGCAAAAGCGCAAGAGAGAGGGCAAGCCCCCCCTGCCACAGCCACAGCCACAGCCCCAGGCCACATCCGCACCCTCCAAGGGCGCCAGCAGCGGCAGCAGTGGTGGTGCTGGTGGTGGTGGTGGTGGGAAATCTGCCGACGCGTCTATTGCTGCTCTGCGGCTGCCCATGACGGGCGCGGTGACGATAGCGTCTTTGCTGGGCGTGCCTGCGTCGTACGACGACCCGCCCGAGAGCATACCCAAGGAGACTAGGGACAAACTCAAGGAGACTGACCCGGTGGGTGGGTGGGTGTGCATGTGGGCGTGGTGTGGGAGCCCGTGTGCCTTGTTCGTCGATATGTGTTGTGTTGTGGTGGGTGTGTGTGTGTGCAGGAGTGGCTGGAGAAGCTCAAGGCGCTTGAGAGGCTGAAGAGCGAGCTGCTGGCTGAGGAGGAGAAGAAACGGAGGAGCGCCAGAAAGGCCCGGGAGCGGCAGTACAGGCAAGGAATGCCACTCGGACACACATCACACTCATTGCCTTAGCCTTCATATGTCGCCCCTGTGTGGGTGTGGGTGTGTGTTCGTGTGTGTGTGTGGCTGCAGGCACATGAAGGAGCTGGATGACGTGTGCGGCAAGGTCCGGGTGGAGCCACTCGGCAAAGACAGACACCGCAACACTTACTACGTACGCCACGCCCGCACACACCACCACCGACCCACACCAGACAGCGCAACACACACACACACACACACACACACGGGGACCCACAAGACGCGCATCTCTGCCTTCAGAGCTTCCCCTCACACCCGTCCCTCTTTCGCCAAGAGAAGGACAACGGTGAGCGAGGCGGGCACACTATGGCAACAGTCGTCGACCTGTGTGTGGTGTGGCTGTCTGTCTGCCTGACTGACAGGTCAGTGGAGTTCTTATGACCACCGCAGCTCTGTGGGCGAGCTGCACGACAGCCTGGTCACCAGGGGCCGCAGAGAGAAAGACCTCAAGGTCAGCCAGCCAGCTGACTCAGCGAGCAACAAACGCACTCGAGAGTCAGCAGCCTGCCTGCACTTTTGTGTGTGTGTGTGTGTGTGTGCGTAGCAAAGGCTCGCTGACAGGATGCCCATCTTCGAGAGAGGGCTGCCTGAAAGGTGAGCGAGCGACTTACCCACCACCCACTGGCACGTGTGTGAAGCCCCCACCCATCCTCTGTGGTGCCTCACCAGCGCGGTAGCGATGGACGTTGACGTGACGGTTGAGGGTGGTGCTGAGGGTGGCGGTGAGGGTGAAGGTTTGGACAAGATCTCTGAGAGCAACAAGTCCAACATGCCCTTCATTGAGCCGAGGTCATACTCATTCAGGGAGAGGAAGGAGAGACCCGCCGCTGCGCCAGCTGCAGCGGCGGCAGCAGCAGCGGAGCCGGTGGTAGTCGAGGTGCCCATGCCAAAGGCGCCTGAAGAGGACGCAAATACCTACACCAACCATTACAGGAGGGTAAGACACAGACAGAGAGACAGACAGAGAGACAGAGAGAGAGAGAGAGAGGACTGGGTGGGTGCCGGTGACTTGAGAGGGTTGGAGGAATGGCTGTGTGTGTGTGTGTGTGTGTCCTGATGGTCAGGTGTGGCACAACAGGGGTGTGCGTCCTTCGGCTGAGATCGCCCCCTTCGCCATCCCCGTCGACCACGCATGCCCCTTCGACACCGATGGATACCCTCCCACAGTCTCTGTCGGTGAGTGAGCACACGAACACCTGTACCCTCACCC